GTCTCGGTGCCATCATTGCTAGCGATCCAACATATAGCGATTTAGAGTTAAATCGGCGGATTACCTTTGGTACCAGTGTTTTCGACTGTCTGTACGATATTTGGGTCAGGAAAGAAATATCTTTTTCTCTAAAAATTCTACGATGCCTTGCCTCTTTCCAGGTCATTGCTGCCATGTAGTATGGAGACCATCATTTTAACGTGTTACTAGGATCGATGATTGAACAGCGTACAGCAGCGTTGCCTTATATTTGAAATGAGTTTTTGTTAAATAACAGGACCACGTAAGGCATAATTTTATTTTACTTCGGCCACAGGCGTCTTCAATTGATATGGAGATTAAGAAAAGGAGGTTGGGCCTGTTAAACAAAATCTCTGTCTATCAACCTTTTACTGTAGCTGACGAGCTTCTCATCTGGAAATCATAACACCTCAGACATTTGATCCACGAGGCCTGCACACAGCGTATATGAACTAACTGAAGCAGAGCTGTCTTTAGAGGGGAATTATTTTTTTCTAAAATACAGTAATCTTGCTTTATGGCACGTGCTGAAAGGCTGAGGGCGCCCGATTACGTTTTCCTAGTTTAAACAGTTGAATTCCATGAACAGCACAAACTGCGCTTAATTTTTGACGAATTTCATGAAGGCCACGTGTCTGGCTTTGAGGTAAGGCAAAACTCTTCCATTATCTGTTCCCGATGTTCAAAGCAAACAGTTACTGATGTTACCTTTATTTTAGAAGTTGATGATAGACGAGAAGCGATGCTATTTTTTTGGCCGCAATCCGAGGTTTTGTGATTTTGCGATCGACCATGCTAGTTGTTCTCGGGTTCATGCTGCTTTGTTGTATCACAAGCATCTCAATCGTGCCTTTCTGGTTGATCTTGGAAGCAGTAAGCATCACTGTATTGCTTTCTACTGTTTATCTTTTTATTGTGAGTTATATTCATGTGTATCATGAGTACTGAAAAATGAGACAGCCAACAGTGGCTTTTCTTTACGTCAAATAGCGAAACGAATCCATATGTCACTCCCGCAGCACAAATTAACGATGTAGCCTAGCTATGGTTTAGCCAGGTTCGTTGTTTCTGGGGACACCTGCCTGCATGTTTGACTTGGACATTCAACAGATTTTATCTGAACATTTAACACTGCTAAAACATTAGACTGGTTTGAGTACGGCACTGAATAGCAGTTGAAGAAGCACAATAATTTTTTAAACATTTTTTAATTTTTTTGTATTTAAAAAGCTGAATTGATATATCTGTTACTCATTGACACATTTTTACAACTGCATTCTGTTCATTATCATTTGGGCAATAAGTGATGACCGTATGGGTTTGCGAACAGTAATATAATAGTCCTATGGATGACTGAGCCGTCACAAGTACGATATACAGTGCAATCCCATTTTTGGCCAAGGTTAGGGTTTTCTTTGTAATCAGCTGT